TTTTTTCAAAAGACTGTTTTGTAGAGTAATTTTAGATTTTCAGCAAAATTGAGAGGGAAGTACAGTTTCCCATGAACCTCTCTGCCCCCACACGTGATTAACTCTTTGTAAATTATTTTTTAGATATTTTATAGGTGCATCTCTCTCTCTCTTTTTCTTTTAGCCTAACATTTTCCTAGGGAAAGCCTCAAGAATATGTAAAAAGAGATTACTACAATCTACCTCATGTATCTATCACCTGGTTAATCATTAAATAATGACCAGTCATATTTTTTCTTTATTCTCATACACTTTATTCTCATATTCTCATACATTTCATATTCTCACTAGGTTACCTTGAATTACAACTAAAAAATAACAGTATTTTCTCAATATCATCAAATAGCTAGTTATTTAAAAAATTTCCTCAGTTTTATCCTGGCTGTTTTTGTTATAGTGGTTTATTTAATCTATATCTAAACAAGATCCATGGGCTATATTTGATCATACAATTCTTAGAGGTTATTAATCTACGTGTTCCTTCTTTCTATCGATTAGTTGAAGAAACCAGGCTATTTGTCCTGTAGATTTTCTCATTGTCTAGATTTTTCTGATTCACTGCATCTTTTTGATGTCATTTAAGATGCTCCCTTGTCTCTGTATTTTATGTAATCTGGTAGTTACATACAGAAGTTTGGTGTGAGTGCTTTTGTTTATTTATTTACTAGGTTCTTCACTAGTGGGATTAGGTGCTACTATTATGAAACACATACTCTGGTTCTTTCTTTTTGAAATTCTAGGAGCTATTGAGTATTATCGCTGGGAACCATTATTTCCTCAGGGGTTTCAGTAATTCCATAATTTCACCATTCTTAATTGATTAGCTAGAATACACACACACAAAGATAAATTTTTTTTCATAAACTATTTACTCTGAAATATATTTCATACATGAAAAGCAGATTAAATATTTAAGTATTTCCCTTTATTTGCCAGTTTTCATAATATAACTGTAATGTTTCCAAATGTGGCCACTGTTTTTTTTTCTTTTGGTATCATTATGAACTCATGAACTTTGATATATTTCAATATTCACTTATTATTCCCATTGATACGAAAATTATCCCATCTTTGGATGCAATCTATCGCAGTGAGAATATTTTCAGAATGGCCCCTGTGTTGTTTTGACTTAGTCATAGTAGGCTTTGAAAGCTTATTGTTTTATGCTATGACCACTATGACAATTTTGACTGAGAATCTTAATTGCAAATGTCATTAACATCATTACTTATTTGCATTGTCCCTCAACATATGTATTTATATATACTGATAGCATTAATAACAATATGATTACTGAAAATGGGTTAACATTTAATTTGTCATTGTTTTCTTTTCTTTGGACAGTCAAATTACTGTTCTTAAAAATCACTTAAAAGAATTCTTCTCTCTAAGCCACCAATGCAACATACAATTAGGTTCATTTGTTTCATTTTTATTTGAAATTTTTAGGGACTGCTTTTATTTTTTATTTATCTTTTTAAAGTTTACTTATTTTGTAAGAGACAGAGAGAGAGAGGGAGCATGAGCGTGAGCAGAAGGGCGGAGAGAGGAGAGAGAGAATCCTAAGCAGTTTCCACATTGTTAGTGGGGAGCCCATTCATGACATCATGACCTGAGCCAAAATCGAGTCAGATGTTCAAAGGACTGAGTCACCCAGGCAATATTTTGTTTTTGTTTTTGCTTTTATGTTTATTCACTTATTTTTGAAATAGAGAGATAAAGAGAGAGAGAAAGAGAGAGAGAGAGAGAACACAAGTAGGGGAGGGGCAGAGAGAGAGAGAGGGAGACAGAATCCCAAGCAGGCTCCGTACCACCAGTGCAGAGCCTGATGAGGGGCTTGAACTCATAGGAACTATGAGATCACGACCTGACCTAAAATCAAGAGTCTGACACTTAACTGAGTCACCCAGGTGCCCCCCTACCTCAGGATTGTTTTTATTTTATTTTATTTACTTCTGCTAAAAATATGTAAAAGTTACATAGTTTTAAAGTCAAATATACAAAACAAGGTATATGCATTTTGCCCCATTTCTCTAAGAAGGAAAATATGTATTTGCCTGTATTAAAACTTAAGCATATATTTAAATCCTTAGATAAGTGGCAGCCTGCTATGTACATTTTTCTCTACATACATTTGGCTTTTTTCACTTACACTATATCCTGGAGATCATTCCATAGTAGTATAAAGAGATACATTTTAACTTTCTACAGTTGCATTGTTTTATTGTTTGGATTTACCATAAATCATTCAACCTATCTTGACGAAGATTAGGGTTTACAGCTTTTTTATAATATAGAAATTTTACAATGAATGTGGATGTGTAAATCAGTTTATAGCTAAGAGTATCTCTGGTATACTCTGGTATATGGAATTCCTGGGTCTAAGGGCAAATATATATGTCATTTTGTTAGTTTTGCCAAATTACCCTCCATAAATGTTGTGCCATTTTACAAATGCATATCTAATTGCAGAAGGAAAAATTGCATAAATAGAGAAAGAGTGGAATTAAAACTAAATATTATCTAATGTCAACAGAAACAAAGACTTATCTGAAACATGAATTGCAGTTTTATTTAAGTTACTGTTCCCATTGATAGCTATTCGTTTATATAACGGCTCTGTCTTGATGGGAGCTTCTGTCACAAGATAATATTTGCTAAAGCTAATCCATTATGATTATAATGCAAAATTATTGATATTCAAATACATTCTCATTTATCAAGGACTATTATCTGGGAAGCCAGCTTGCTTCCACATGATTCACCTTTTTGTTAGAAACTTAATAGGACAAATTATAAATTTGTACGTTGTGCATACCTCATAGTAGGCATTAGCCCTTTCATCATAAGCCGTAACCTATACATTATGAAACCACCTCAGAAAGTCACTAACTTTTAGACTAGAGAATAATGAAATTTTTAAAACAGCATTTTAAATGCTTTGATTTGCTTCTTAACAGTGTCTTATCATGGATTGATATTATACTCCTCTGGCTTAAAGCTGTCGAGTGATTCACAATGAGATGACTGACAAAACCCAAAGTAATAGTCTAAAGACTTCTTAAGCCACTACTTCTAAATCTGCTTCTCTTTATTGATATAATGAGGGGAGAATTAATTTTAAAAGGTGGTGACTATTGATTACTTAATGGCAGAAGATAGTGTTGAGAAATGCTGAAGTGAGCCTATTCTGTGCCCTCCTGGGCAACAGGACCCATTATCCAGTGGTGGAAATCATGCTGTAACCCTCATTAATATTTAATAGGCAGGACACAGGCTGGATGCAGGCTACAAAATTGCCCCAGGCATAGGCTCCAATAGGCCATCAGAATGTTTCAAGTATATAAGAGTAACAGATTTCCCTGTGTTCAGATTGTTTATAAGCAGGACAACGATACATTCAATTCCCTTTCGTGATCTCTGGGCGGTGATAGCCTCATGGAAATGCCTACTAGGCAGGTTGAAGTGATTAATGCTCGGGAAGTCATTCTAGGTTAGTCAGCCCTGCATGAGAAGACTTCGTATTTTCCAGTGTGGTTCTCAGTCTCAGCCCTTGTCTTTCTCTCTTCTCTCCACAAGCCGAAGGGCTGGTTCAGCAGGGGTGGCGAGTCAGCAAAAGGCGTTAATTGTGTCTAACACAGCCAGCATCCTCCGAGCGGTATTATGTATCACACTGTCTATCAAGCTAACCCCTTGTCACACGTCAGGATCTTTTTATTTTCAGCTCATTTAAAAGGGAAACAGGGAGTTTCAAAGATAGCTGGTGGGGAAACATAAGTCTAAGAGAGCGTGGAAGAATGAAGAGCCTTTGAAACTGACTTGAACTAATCTGGGCTGTGACTTCTGAAAAGACAATACAAGGTTTTATCAATTACAGACGCCCATTGTTAACTTTTCAAATCACCAGGTTGCTTTGCAATACCACCAGCTTGTTTTGAAAATATCATAAGATTGGAATGAAGTTAAGTTCTCTGTATAGAACATATTCTGAGGATTTATGGGTACATAAAGGGCATAATATCAGATAGCCACCATTCCAAACAATGGATAAAAGTAAACAGGCAGTAAAGACACATCAGTGTTTCGACTCAATGACCCTAAAGATTGTTGAACATGTATTTAGGATAACAATTTACTTTGTAACATATCAGGGATTATTTATAATTACCTGCCTAGAATGAGTTACATACATGAGAATAAAAATTTAGTTTTGTAGGCAAAAAGTATCCAAGGGAACAAGTCTTCTATTAACATGTTGAGCTTTTTGTCAAAACCAGTGAATGAAATTTCCCCAGAGGTCTCATTTTATTCCATGTTAAATGTGGACAAAGTCTGTTTTACTCCCAGTCTTAGACTGTGTACGCCTAAACGCTGCTCTCAATTTATGAACAGGTCTCTGTGTATGCCTTCTCTTTCTGACACCAAGTAGAGAGTCTCAAATGATCAAGTTATCAGTGATAAATGTATTTGTGTTCAATTTTGGCTTTTTGACAAATATGATCTTTATGAGGCATATTGATAGATCTACTTAGATGTCTGTGTTTGTTTAGTTGTTATATATTTATTAGTTGGTTAGTTCTCAATTCTTGCCATTCCCTCATGGAAATAAGTTTGTGGTTGACTCACTTCAAGAAGGCTCAGCTTAGAATTTTAGATTCTTCAGCTGCCATTCCCAAGAGCAGAAGTAACACTATCAATTGAAAATAATTTAATAGATTTTCTCCAAGGTACTTAACACTATAGCATAAAACATATGAAGGCATTTAATCAACCGTAAATATTATAATGTTAATAATAGTTATACCTTCAGTGCCTTTAGATATTCCAGAGAGAAAGTTTTTTTAATCCGATCATTGCACTATACTGGCACTTATTGAACCATAATGTAATATATTTAGCAATTTTATCAGCGAAAGTCACAAATCCTAAATGCCCTTTCCTTTCTCTTTCCTATTTTATAGCGCAGCAGCAGTTTTGGGAATTTCGATCGTTTTCGGAATCATTCCATTTCAAAACCAGATGATTCAACTGAGGTTAGTATTTTTGTTACAATTGTTAGGCAAACACATTATGAAAAATTATGAAGCCAATATCACTTTTGCAAAGTACAGTAAGAAAAATAAGTGTATTTGAAAATCACAGTCCTGCCAATATTTTTATGATAAATGAACAAACAATTTAGTACCTAATACCATGCTGGGTGTTAAAAGTCAACAGCTATCTAAGAAACCTAACATATTAGGAAAAGCAGAACATGAACTTATGAAGAGAGTTACAATGTAAAGTAATACAGATATTCCCAAATTTTCTGAGCATTTCCACAATAAAACAATACATATGTTAAATTTTATGTAATTGTAATTGCTTTAATTTAATCGCATAATTAAATAGCTTAGTTGCAAGTTTGTCAAGGAGAGCATACAGTTGTTCAGTTGTACTCACATTTCCACCATATGCATTTAAATGTCTCATAGGTGACCATTACATACACGTTTGCAAATCATGAACACTTTAGATGTAGCACGAGAAAAGCTTCCCATAAAATTAAGTGTAAATAATAATAATAGTAATAGTTCTAATAATATCTACATTTAATTGAACACATCATCATATAAGCACACTAAACACTTTACCTACCTATAATGTAGGAACTATTAGCATTACTATTTTACCATTGAAGAAAGACATTTCATTGAGGAAAATTACTTCTAAATTACACAGTTAATAAATGACAAAGACAGAAGTCAACTTGTCAGACTTCAAGTTTGCCATTCTGTTATACTATCTCACAAATGAAAGGTCAACTGTGATAAGTGATTAATGAAAGGTAAAACAATTAATAAATTGATAAAATGGAGGATATATATTGAGAAAATTAAGAATACATGTTTATCATTGAAAGTGATTCAACAACTCCACATGTGATATATTTTCGATCAGTAGGTTTTGGAGCTTACCTATTTCTTAGTTACTCATTGTCATTATTGTATGCTTACTTTTTGTTTTTTGTAAGGGATTTTTCCATTTATCATATCTAATTTCTCAACATACTTTTCAGGTTCTTATGTGTATATATCTATAATATTTTAAAATAATTTTATTTCAGTAATGGAAATTGTAAACAAAAGAAATTAAAATAGAATGGCATCTATTATTAGTTTCTAAATATATCCATTAGTATACATATATGCTTGTGGGTATAATATATCCCCTTTTATACATATTTATATTACATATATCGTCTTTTATCCGTATATATATATGTGTATATATATATATTTATATACACAGACCTATGTGAGAAAGCGTGTATTTCATTTCCAATTATAATCTTATATACCCTTTCAACTTTCCATAACCACACATAGATATATTCTACTACTATTTACTTTATAATTCTAGAGTTAACCTGTAAAAGTAGTTTAGGCTCATTCAGGTTCATTGATTAGGAATGGTGACTTAGTAATTTGTGAAAGAATTTAGTGAACCTGAAAAAGTAGTTCACACATTTTTCAGCAATTCAGCATTCATTCATTTAACAAGTGTTTATTAACACCTACTCTATGACAGGGTTTCCAGTAGGCACTCAGAAATTACTACTGCAATAACCGATGAAGATCCCTAATACATGAAGCCTAAAGTCTAGAGGGAGAGACAGATCTTAGAAAAGCAACAACAATTGTAAATAAATACCTAATAAAGTTGTAATCCAGGCTATGAAAGAGAACAGTATAGAAAAATGTGAAAGTTTAAAATATGCTGAGGTAGTTTCTTCTAAACTTCTGTAAAGAATGATAGTAAAACCTAAAATTACAAATATTTGTGATACTTTTTTGATGCTTAGGCAATGGTAATTTAACACTGGTGGTAATAAAAAATATACTTTCTTATTTATTTAATTATTATTATTTTTTTAAGTTTGTAGTTTTACAAAGAAGGTAGAGTTTACAGAGGGAGAAGAGAGAAGAAAAGGGCTAACTTTAAAAATTTAAAGTGTTTCCAAGTTATATTTTATTCAGGGCTTTTGGATTAAGCAAAAACTCTTTGCCTTTATAACCTTGAATGTAGAAATTAATAAAGTTCAATAAGTACTTAAATTGGCTGTCCATTCATATTTATCACAGGCAATTTGGGGTAAGATACGAAGCAAAACATAATATTTATTAATAATGATGTTAATTTTGTGGTTAAACCTTCATATTAAAATATTCATGTTCACTAAAGAGAAGTTTCCCTGATTTCTGTATATGCAAGAAATATCTGGCTGTCCATCCACTGAGAATGGTGGGCAATGCTTAGATGACCTTAAAGGGTCTTTTCTTGCCAATCCGAAATATTAAGGATATATAACCCAAGTATGTCCTTCAAGAAAAAAAAGTCACTCCAAAGTTCTACATGAGAAGTTTAACTTATTCAAAAAATATTGTCAGTTCCTGGAAGTATTCTAGACATTTAGAATAAGTAAGAAATACAAAATCTCTAGTCTCATGGAGCCTATCTCGTAGTGGGAGATGCAGGCAATAATCAATCAAAGAAACAAATACATTATCAGGTAATGTTAAATACTTAGAAGAATAAATTACGTTAACTACTTGAAGATTTTTGTACCAATGGCTGTACGAAGTTCATATTTACTATTGCTTGACAATGTGGGGAAATATGTATGGGATACTTACCTGAAAGATAAAAAAAAAAAAATGCACTTTCTCAGTGGATTTACTTAATTCCAAACCTTTTTAAGAAATGACCATTTCTATTTCTATAAGGATCAAGAGGATATTTTAAGGCCCACTATAACCTTTCTAAAGCCTCCAATAAAGTATCTCCCATCTCTGTAGACTTAGCCACTCATTATTCCTGGCATTTAATTCTATTTTTGGCATCTCAAAATGGGTAAAACTAAAGTGGCTCTACTGTACAGGTATTTAAAGAATAGCTAAATTCTTTAAAAAAATTTAGATGTGAAGCTCAGGTCCTTCGACATCAGAAGTTTGACTTTCTGAATTCATAACACATGTAACCAGGCTTGGACAACTTTAAAAATATGTATTATGTCCAGATTGAAACTTTGGAAGCTGCGGTATACGATGTATATGAAGTTCACAAATTTGGAATCTTCCCTCTAATAATGTTTTCAAATAAATGATTTTTATTGCTTTATTATTCCATCTTTTATTTTTTATTTTTTTTTTAATTTACACCCAAATTAGTTAGCATATAGTGCAACAATGATTTCAGGAGTAGATTCCTTAGTGCCCCTTACTCATTTAGCCCATTCCCCCTCCCACAGCCCTTCCTATAACCCTCAGTTTGTTCTCCATATTTATGACTCTCTTCTGTTTTGTCCCCCTCCCTGTTTTTATATTATTTTTGTTTCCCTTCCCTTATGTTCATCTGTTTCGTCTCTTAAAGTCCTCATAAGAGTGAAGTCATATGATTTTTATTCTATGTTTTGTAAACAATCCTAACTAGGTGTATGAAGGGGAATCCATAAATGAAAATGGAGAACAAAATAAAACTTCAAATAATGGAGGAGGTTTAGGGAAAAAAATGAGAGCTATTTCCTGGACAATGAAGAAAAAAGTGGGTAAAAAATACATCAAAGCCCTTTCTGAGGAAAAGGTAAGCACACTCTGTTAATCATGTCTATTTTTCTGTTAAACTTTTTCTTAAAATAGTCAAAGATGCTTCTTATAGACATAGAATTACTTGATGTTTTAGGGAGGACTTCAAACATCTGTTTTCTCCCTCAATAATTTTTCCCAGAAGTTGGATGGAAAACAACAGCAACAACATTATTACTCCTATTTTAATAGAAGAAACAGACACTTGGAAAGATCACACATAGAGTACATGAAGAACAGTATGTCATATGTTGTAACAAACATCAGTGCTTCATTTATTTTTATTGCCAACTAAGATTCCATTTTATAGGTAAACTAGATTTTATTTTTCCTTTCATCAGTTGATAGATATTTGGGTTGTTTCCACTTTCTGGCCATTGTAAATAATGCTGCTATAAATATTCGTGTGTGAGTTTTCGTGTGGAGATATTCTTTCATTTCTCTTGGGAATATGGTAACTATCTGATATTTTGAGAAATTAGCAACTGCTTACCCAAGCAGCTGATCATTTTACACTCCCACTAGTAATGTGTGAACATTCCAATATCTGCACATGCTTGTCAGCACTTGTTACTGTCTTTTTGTTGCTAGCCATCCTAATGGGTGTGAAGTGGAATCTCAATATGGCTTTGATTTGTACTTCCCTGATGACTAAGGATGTTGGGAATCTTTCATGTTCTTATGAGCCATTTGTATAGGTCTTCTTTAAAGGAATGTCTATTCAAATATTTTCCCACTTTATAATTGGGTTATTTGGGTTTTTTAAAGTTTATTTATCTATTTTTGAGAGAGAGTGAGAGAGAGAGAGAAAGGGAGGGACAGAGAGTGAGAGGGAGAGAGAGAATCCCAAGGAGGCTCCATGCTGTCAGTGCAGAGCTTGATGTGGACCTTGATCTCAGGAACCATGAGATTGTGACCTGAGTCAAAATCAAGTGTCAGATACTTAACCAGCTGAGCCACCCAGGCACCTTGGGTTATTTATTTATTTATTTTTTACTGTTGACACTAAAGTTTTTAAAAATATGTTCTGGATACAGGTCCTTATATGACTTGCAGTATGATATATTTTCTCCCATTCTGTGCATTGTATTTTCATTTTTTTGATGGTAACATTTGCAGCACAAGTGTTTATAATTTGATGTAGCCCAACTGATCTTTTTTTTTTTCATTTGAACTTTAAGTATTGTATTTACAAAAAATAAACTATCGCTTAACCTAAGGTTACAAAGATTTACTCCTGTGTTTTCTTCTAAGAGTTTATAGTTGTAGTTCTTAAATTTTGGTGTATGGTCTACTAATTTTTCTATGGAATATAGTAGGAGTCCAACTTCCTTCTTTTGCATGTGTATATCCAGTTGTCTCAACATTAATTTGGTAAAAAGACAACAATTTTCCTATTGTATTTTCTTGACACCCTTGTTGAAAATCAATTGATAATAAATACATGGCCATAATTATGGGCAATAAATATAGGGGTTAATTTCTGACTCTCAATTCTATTACATTGATATGTATGTCTTATGTCCATTCTCTTTTTAACCCCTTTTAATAGGACTTCTGTCCCCAGTACTCCATTAAAACAGTAGTCACAATCAGTGTTGACCTCTGTGTGGTCAAATTCACTGATAACTTTTCTTTCTTCTTACATTACTTTTCAACTCTATTTGACAAGTGATGATTTCAATATATATTAAACATCATCTTTTCTTGGTTCATCTAACTGAGTGTTCTTCTGGCTTTCTTTCTTTCTCAGAGTTTCCTTTCTTGGCTTTGCTTTTTTTTCCTGTCTCTCTAAATATTGAGTCTTCCTGAGGCTTGTTCCTAGATGCTCTACTCAATGTACTCTCTCCTCCTAAGTGATCTCATCCATGTCATGACTGCTTTTCATAATTATATCTTTAGCTATGACAACTTATCTGTTGTGCTTAAACAACCACTTGTGAATTTGATATCATCACTTAAATGTACAATAGATACTGGAACCCAATATATCCAAAACTGGATTATTAATTCTCTATGCTCTACCAAAAAAAAGTTTCTTGTGCAGTCTTCTTAGTAGTAATAGACAACACTACCATAACTCTAGATGCAGGGAAGGAGAGGAGAGGAGAGGAGAGGAGAGGAGAGGAGAGGAGAGGAGAGGAGAGAAGAAAGAAGCCTAAGAATCATTCAAAACTCCTTCTTTCTCTCATTTTTCACACTAATTCATCAGCATATCCTCTTGGTTCAAACTTCAAAGCATTATCTAAAACCCCTAATTCCTCCATGTAAACTATTCCTGCTTTAGACAAACAAATAAACAAAAACAATAACAACAACTCCTCTTGCCTCGAGTACCATAATAATCACCTAATTGGTTGTCTTTCTTCCATTCTTTCCTCCATAAAAACCATTCTCCAATGAAAGCTAGAAAGACCTCTGAAAAGTAGAATTCTGAATACATCACTCCCCTTGATTAAATTTTTTTTTACAATGCTTTCACAATGCATTCTTTTACTATGGTATGTTCATTCCAGTGCTCTGAGAAACAGAGCCTAAGAAAGGAATAGACACACCAAAGATTATTGGGGAAAATGTCTGTGAAGGATAAAGTAGAGAAAGAATAAATGGGTAGGGAAAGCTTTCAGACTACAGTGCAAGTTTGACACCTGTGAAAGGAGAGGAACAAAGCTTTAGCCAGATTGGTAGACAGTCCTTGAACCAAAGTTTTTCACTAGAGGAGACCGATATCCTCCCAGATCGACTCAAATGGTACCCACATTGTTTCAGTGATTGGCAGAGAGCATGGCTTCCATGCAGACACAGTGGTGGATTCGGTAGCTGGGCTGTTGGCAAAGAAGGGTCCTGCAGCAAAAGATCTGAGTGGCACATTTCCATGACCACCACACATGGTCTATAGAGCTCTCCCTTATCTGGTTCCAGTCTCCATCTCAAAGCTCATCTCCTAAAACTGTCCCTGCTTTCACTCAGCTCCAGCTACATTGGCTTTGTCTTCCTGTGCATAACCCAAACTAATTCTGAATTTAATCATTTTGTTCTTGCTTTCGTTTTTCTTAGAAAACTGCCTCCAAATCTTCACATATAATATATCTTAGCATTCAGGTCAAAAATTCAGAACATAAATTACCTTATAGAGGAAGTCTTTGGAGACTACTCCATCTAAATCAGCTATCCTTCCCCAACCTTAATCTTAGTATCTAATCCTCTGATATCACTGTTTTATTTCCTTCATAGAACCTATTCTCTGCAATTTTCTTGCCCATTTTGTTTATACACATGTCCCCAAACACAACACACACACACATACACACACACACACACACACACACACACACACACACACAGCCCATCACACTAAACGTACTTTATTAGAGCAGGGACCCTGTTACCTTGTTTGCTATGGTATCTCTAGTTCCAAAAAACATGAGAGGTACTTACAAGGTATTCTATAAACATATGGGGAATGACTGAACAAGTGAATAAAAGAATGGATAAAAGCAGAGAATCAAACTGAATACATAGCATATATGTATTCTGAAACTTCATCAATGTTTAGAAATGCTCATAAATGAGGAATATTGAATTACATTTTGATGAGTATTAAGAAATGTATAGGTTTTGTCCAAAAATCTAAATATGGAAGACATTTGAGATGTTTTCAAGCAGATGTAATTTGTTTTGAAATTGTCTGTCTTTCCTAATTTTATGCGGGATTTGCTTTTCACTTGACTAGGTGTGCAAGCACGGTATGAGATTTGTAAAGCTTCTTAGATAAGCTTTGCTTTAGAATTGCAAAATGTGCATGTTTTATTCATATCTAGTGATCTGGTAGGGTGCAAATAACTGACATGAAACAACTATGCAGAATTTAAAGTTGTAATATCAGATCTCAAAGGATTAGTAATGGTGGTAAATAGATGATAAGAACATGAAGAAATAAAAATGCTTTCACGGATAAAGCATAGATGTTAATAAATCTAACATTTCTGATTAAATAGTCTTGATGTGATATTCATCCTAATTTACAAATGAACTATTATAATTTCAGTTGAATTCCATAATGTGGAATGTTTCATCTAAAGAATTTTTCCAAGTATAATATGTTTTGCTAGAAATTGAACTAAAGATTAATGACTCTCATATTTTATGCTGATGTATTCCTAAGCATTTTATTGCTAAAATATGTCTCGTTTGTTAAATCAATGCACACAGTGAATATCTCCAAGGAAATCAGTTCTCTGCACTTAACCTCTGATGTTTTTCTGAAGGATGAGGAGGATGGAGAGGATACCCTCCCGTACCGGAACAGTGACCCAATGATTGGATCTCACACAGAGAAGATCTCCCTCGAAGCCAGTGACTCCATGGATAGTCTCTACAGTGGGCGGAGTTCATCAAGTAAGGCTATAGAATAAGGGACAACTGGGAGGCCTGAGTTAAGTTAATTAAAAACAGATTTTAACTATAGAGAACAAACTGATGTTTACCAGAGGGAAGGTGGGTGGGGAAACGGATGACGTAGGTGATAGGGATTAAAGAGTACATTTATCATGATGAGTTCTGTGTAATGTACTGAAGTGTTGAATCACTATGTTGTATACCTGAAACTGATATAACATTGGATGTTAATACTACCAGAATTAAAATAAAAAACAATACAAAAGAAACAAATTGCAAATGAAAAACAACAATAGATTTGGGGCTCATCACATTAGCAACAAGGTTCCAGCTACTTCATAAGAGAAATAGTGAAAATGTAGGATGTGATGAATCCATAAAATTGCTATTGTTTAAAATGATATACAACATATTAGATAGAATTATGAATTATTTTAAAAATTCCTTTTTGTAGTTGGCAGGGCTCTTAGGGGCATGTCTCAAAAAGATCACGTTGGGTAACTAAATCCTCATCCTTAAGATAAAAAAATGTATGCTTGGGAGAACTAGGATTATCTTGCGTCATAATTACTAACATGAGTTGAAGAATTCAGAAAAACAAAATCCTGTTTTCTGTCTCTTCTTCCCTCCCTCTCTTTCTCCTTTTCCTTTTCTTTATTCCTCCTTTTGTTTTCCTTACTTTCTTCTTTCCTCTTTCTTTCTTCTTCTCTCCTTCCTCCCACCCTCCCCTTCCCTTTCTTTCTTTCTCTTCCTTCCCTCTTTTTTCTTTTTTCTTTTCTTTTTTCTTCTTTCTTTCTGTCTTTCTTTCTTTCTTCTTTCTTCCCTCTCCTGTCCTCTCTCATTTTTTTCCTTCCATTTTACCTGAAGTATTCTGAAAAGAGCAGGACATATGCATCAATTCTGACATTTACTTTTTAGGTCTCCATCCAGCATTATGAGTAAAGAGTGACATACTATGTAAATACTAAATAGAAGGAATACCACTAATTAGGTGACAGAAATGTGTCAGTATGTGTTTCTAAGAAGGAATTCATTCAGGTTTCAGTCACATATCTACTACAATAGTTGGATGAAACTACTGATAACTGAAGGATGCCTTCTAACTTATTATATGTACACTGTTATACATCCTTCTAATTTCTTCTGGGCTTTAAATGTTGTTGTTGTTGTTGTTGCACAAGGTTTATTTATCTTGTATTTCCTTTGAAATCAACTTTCTCTTATTTGAAGACAGATCACAAAGACCAGATGTTTCAAACATCGTGAATTATATTTGTATTTTCCTATTGGCTGTACAACAGTTATTTTGCGAAAAAAAAAAAAAGCTAATGCAGAAACATTTGAAGGATATATTTTTGCATGCATGAAACTCAGATTTCATTAGTATTCATTTCTGCTGGAAGTTTTAAAATTCTAAACTGTAATGCTGAATGTGGGTAGAATTTTATTAACTAGAGCATACCGTTTAAAGCTGAGGCCTGAAGTGGTCATGGAAGGAAGGGTGTGAGGAAACAGTGGCCCACTTAGCTGTTGTAATATGCGGCTTAATTTCTGTAATTACATGCAGCTCACCTTTCTTTTATACCAGTTCATATACAATATGGAGCATCTCTAAGGTTCTTTACCGTATTGCCATAATTATTTGAATACATAGAGAAACCAGGGCTGTTCCGTCATTGAACAGAACACTGAAGGGCCATACTGAAAGAAAAAGTGAGGTGACAACGGAGAGTGGTGGACAAACAGAGTTACTTCCACTGGGAACCATTCTAGCCTCCATCTCGCAAGCATCCAAAATGGAATCCGTTTTCTCTTTTTTCCCTGAGCTTCCAACTCAGAAGGGAAAAGGATCAGAGAACAAGGATTTGGAGCAGTTTTAAAAGCCCAGTTTAGAAAGTTTAGAACCATTTGGGCACAGGCACATATCCTCCTTCCTTCACACTCAAACAACAAGCAAAAGCATTATCTTTTATGCATAGAGATGTTGCTTCAAAATGGCTTGTGGTACATAATATGAAGTTTGGGAGAGTATTCCAGCTGTATTGTGATAAGCATGGGGAAACTTGTGGTCTTATTCTTTGAACATTTGTGATCAGTATCATACAAAGATCAAACTGTTGCTATAGGTTTTTGTCTTTGTTTACAGGTACAAAATTAATCGTCTGGCCTGCACAGGGAGTTAAGCCTATACTGTCTGCCTCTTTAGCAAGTGTTCAGTGCTCAAAACACTATGCTACTAGATCAGATCATAAAGACTGAAGTGAGAGGGTGTTTTTGGTTAGTGTTTGAGGAAAGAGGAGTCAGATTGTCTGGAGAAAGTTCAGCTATGGCTCAGAGAACAGAGGTCATGAATGGAGAGTGACTGGGAGGCAGAAAAAAAAAATAGGAATCCATCACTTAGAACCCCCTCAAAAGGCTGGCATCCGATGTTTCAGCATTGTCCTTGCTTAGCTGTATCCAGACGATGGTTCAGAATTTTGTGAACCTTCAGGGAGAACCGTTAACCTCTGCTTTGCTTTCGTCAGGTGGAGTCACAAGTTGTTCAGATGGTACAAGTAACCGGGACAGTTTTCGACTTGATGATGATGGCCCATACTCTGGACCATTCTGTGGCCGTGCCAGAGTACATACTGATTTTACACCAAGCCCCTATGACACTGACTCCCTCAAAATCAAGGTGTGTGCACATCATATCTGTATTCTGTATGGTCTGTCTAGTGTTGGTTGTATGATCTGTGTCAGGAAATGCACAGTGGGAACCAGGTGTGTGGGGGGTGGGGTGGTTAAATGTGTTCTTCCCAGCAGTAGAACTGAGCACTGGTTTAATGTTGCAAGAATTTGAACAAAACATGAGAGGTGGGTAAGGGAATCCATCTGTTGAGGCCATAACATATGTCGCTGTTATATAGATACTGCAGAATCAAAGCCTGTCAGGGGAGAAGAAATTGTCTACATTTTTCTGAAAGCCAAAAGCCTCACAGGTTACTGGAGATGCCCAGCCCTGCCTGATGCTTGCTGGAGTAAAAGGAGGGAGAGAAAACAGTTGGAGATATCTGGCAAGAGACGTGCAGAGCAACTCCCTTGGGAACCAGACTTGGCTGGGCAAATTTAGTACTTAAGTTGGTTGCTATGAGTGACCATATATCCTTCTCCCAACGATATTATCTCTTGAATTCCCTCTTCTTACTCTTATTATCTGTATTTTCCATTGATGTGTAATAAATTTCCACAAACTCGAGGCTTTTTAAACAACACAAATGTATTATTACCTCACAGTTCTGTGGGCCATCCATTGGTCATGGCTCAATTGGGTTCCCTGCTTAAGGTCTCACTGGGCTGCAATCAAGGTGTTAGCTGGGGCTATGTGTCCTCACCCGGGGCTTAGTGTCCTCCTCCAAGCTCACTGGCTATTGACAGAATTCAGTTGCTTGTGGTTGTAGGACTGAGGTTCCTGCTTTCTTGTTGGATACTGTCTGGGAGCCATTCTCAGCCCCTTGAGGCTGCCAGCCATGGTCCTCTTTATAACATGGCAGTTTGTTCCTTCAAAGCCTTCAGAAGAAAAACTCACTCATGTTTCAAATCTCTTTATTTTGGGGGGCTTCTACATGATAAAGTTGGAAACATCCAGATAAGCTCTCTTTTAATTACAAAATTAACTAATTTGGGACATTAATTATATCTGCATAGTCCCTTGTGTCATATAATACAACATTGATTGTGGGTATGAGATCTATTATTTTTGTAGTTCTACTCACACTAAAAGGGATGTGCTGTTGCAATAGTACAAATAGAAGGTTTAGTGCCAAAGCATTTTATACATGTTAAATTATTCCTTTTAGCAACACAAATAGATATAGCTAAAAGGACAAAAATGATGAATTTTCTATACTACCAACATCAAGCCAGGATTAACCAGTAATTATGATAAGTTATGAAGTGTTGATGTTATTATTTAATATTCAAGACACTCAGCTTTTCTCTTTATCCCTTTTAGGATAATAAATCAGAGTAAGCTCAGCTGGAGAATGAAGAAAACATTATTCTTCATAGTTAGCTCCTCAATCCTTGGAATGAAATAATTCGAAGTCTAAGTTCAAGACTTGGGGGGAAGAATGCTTGTAGCCTAGTAACCATAGTTGGGGAAGGACTGTATAAGGGAATAAATTGAACCCATTTGACTCAGGAAAGCTTTTCGCCTTCCCTACAATGCTATACCAGTGTATCACCACTTGTCCTGCCTAAGGTGATATTTGTAGAGCTCTTGTAGGACACAATAAAAATCCCACAGTTACCACTGGGGATTGAATGCTATTGTTTATATCAGGGGTCTTATCCACAATGAAATTGGGTCTTTGCTTGGTGACCTATGGGCTTTCCTGGAATGTATACTTTTTATGAGTTTAAAGGATAATAGGAAGGATGCAGCAGAGAGCTCCCATGCTTAGCAACTTCCCTTAGAGCTTCTGGGGATTTTCTAGGTCTGCTTAGCTGATCCTATCAAGCCCAGGATTTGATTCCCCGTAGTTAGAGGCAGGAAGAACGAGATGAAAAGCTGATAGGGTCAAACAAGCAGATGATCACAAATCAGAAAGACCAGATCTTTTGATCACATTGAATCCCACTATTAAAAATACAATTTGTGTTTTAGATAGAATACACATTCATAGAGCATCAGTAAAAAAGTATTTTTAGCAGCAGACTTAATGCTTTGCTTGAGGGTAGACCCCTAAAATGGTAAAAATATCAAATCTATAATGTCCTCTCTGGGGTAGAAACTTATAAGTCTCAAAGGAGTAGCTATGACTTTTAAATGTAGGCACTGTATTTGCATAGAAATCAATTTTCCTTATAAAGAAGTACCCCTGTGTGTTTTCTACTCTTGCCAATAACTGGCAGCCTATAACCAATTAGAGTCTCAGATGTGAATAAAGAAAAAGACCAATTGGTTTGTCCATGCTTATGTGCTCAGTCATACATCAATCCAACTTTGGTGTGGAACTAAATCTAAGTATTGTCTTCTTTAAAATAATTAAGTAGCATAATTTATCCATAGTGCACACATACTTTTCTTACATAGTTGGTATATACAAAGTTCTTAATAATTTCCTTATTTTAGATGAATGCTACACTTAGATGGTTTATTTTATACTGTAGGTAAAATTTTCAGATGAACTAGAAGCATGGACTGAGATACAGACTTCTTTTTTTTCCCCTTCCTTATTTGGGAGCTCCTCCAGGAATCATGGCTTGAGCTTTGTTACATATCTATTGCTTTGACAAGATGAATGAAAAGAGCATCATTTTTGAGTTCAGACGACTTAGACTTGAGTTCTGGTTCTGTCATTTGAATTCAGACAACTGCCATGATTTTCAAAATTTAATTTAATGTTTGCATTTCTTTTCTCTAATATTTAGAGTAATAATGAAACCTTGTATATGTACCTAAGAAGTGTATCATGGGCATAAAATGACTCAGTATATGCAAAAGTATTTCTAAATTCCATTGTGCTCTACAATTTTAAGTTCATAAATTGATATACCAAAAACATAAAGATATCATCAAATGTATGCAAGACCTTTTTTCAAGTTGGTTGAAATTTTCTTCATTATTACTAGCAAATAGTTCCCTTGAACTTTTAAAAGGATTTTTCTCTTAGATTTATTTCTGTTATCAGTAACCACCCCCCCTTAGCATATTCCCTCATTATTCTAGTTTTCTATGATTCTATTCTTTCTACCAATTGTTATAGCACCAGAGTTCTCTGAAAACTGATTGGTATATTTCTTTGTCTTTAGAAAGGAGACATAATAGACATTATCTGCAAAACGCCAATGGGGATGTGGACAGGAATGCTGAACAATAAGGTGGGAAACTTCAAATTTATTTATGTGGATGTCATCTCAGAAGAGGAAGCAGCCCCCAAGAAAATAAAGGCACACCGAAGGAGTGGAAAGGAAAAACCCAAGACTCTGCAGGAGTTCTTACAGAGGATTGACCTTCAGGTTAGCAAACTTGTGGCCTGTTTGATTCTGGTAGCATCTGGATGGAATAAATGAGGAGAATAGATCAGTGTTTGTATAGTGTTAAAAAATATATGACTTACAGCAAAGGGAAATCTGTTTTCCAAGAAGAGTTCTTATTTCTCCTTTATTACTTTTATTATGCAAGGACAGGTCTTGATATAACATCCCTTGGACTAAACTCTAATGGTACTTAGCAGTGACAGTAGAGATTAATGTTGAGAAAGTGCAGTGAAAAATGAAAATACCTTGGAGAATAAAAGGCCCAGAGAAAACAAGTAAATGAGAATGATGGAATATGAAGAGTAAAGGTAAAAATCCAGAGAATTGAAAGGAAAACTGAAAAGAAAATTGCATTTTCTATAGGGCAGAGATCAAAAGCAAGTCAAGAGAAGACAAATAAATATAATTGTTCCAAAAGCAATTTGTTAGGAAATAGTGATCATTAAACCCCCATGATGATTGTGTTAAGGAAACTGTGTTGTTTATATTTATAATCCAATTATTTTCTTGTTATATTAGCAAAATTTCTATGAAATATCTACCTTGTTCAATGGTGTGTACATACAATTTACCTAGCCTCACTCAATTTACTGTTTTGCAATCCATTTCTAAAATTAATGCAGCAGTACTTTGATAATTTTCAAGATTCATCAAGGCAATAGCCAATTAAACTTTCCTTAATTGTTTCTCTTGAATTATCTAGTTATACTCCTGTCTGTAGACAAACTACCTCGGCCTTCCTACATTACGATGGGTGCCCCTCAAATGGGGCACTGCTTGGATGAAGTACAAGTTTAAACCCTGCTTCTTCTTTTTGTTTGCCCTGTGACCTATGAGAAAACCCAGGTCTGAGGAAGTGAAATAACTTACTCAAGAACCCACAATCAGACATAAGTCAGAATGGGAATTTTGGTTTCTCTGTTCTAACTTAGTACTCCATCTAGGAGACATTATTTTTTAAAAAGAAGTGGTACTTTTTCTTTCTTTCTCTTTCTTTTGTAAAAAGGGGCTGGTAGTTCTTTCCAATTGCTTAAAACTTTTATACCTCCTCTTATTCAGTTTTAGTAACCAAAATAAGGATATTGAAATTATGATCAAGTAAAATGGAAGGAAGTTTTGAGGAAGTTGTAAAGCAACTTCACTTTGCATTTTTATTCCGTTAGAGAGAACAGAGGTTACATAAATAACATACAGACTCAGAAATCAGAAGCCTATGAATTTTAAACTAATATATATTGATGCAAATGATAGACAAAAATATACATGCTGAGAAAAGGAAACAATACTTTTCCCAACCACAATGCTTTTATGCTTAATAAAAGCTTTTAATTAAATAGAAAGTCTGGAGTTCCTTCGGTTTATATAATGATTTCACAAAATGCTAGGTCTATTTTTTATAAAGAATTGTGCCTGTTTCATATTCACTTTTCAAACTACCCCAAGAAGTTAGTGAGGGCAAATATTTTTGCAAGCAAGCAAACAAGGAGAGATGGAGATTCAGAAATATTACTATAATTACTCTTCCAGAGGCATTTTATTGATAGACATAAGGACACCCTAGCTTTGTCAATTGAGCTATCTGAGAAGTGAAAAAGTGCCAAATGGGATGAATGATCCAGCTATTTAATTGATCCATGATTTAGCGCTGCGCAGCTTAAGGTAATTATTTCTTCTTTACATTTGTCCTTCCAGAAGGTGAGAATTATCCAACATACTCTTCTAAATGCCCTAGAGTTCAGATGTGGAAAACTAGTACAAGTTAAAAAAAGTTACACAAAAGTCCTATCAGTGCCTTTGGTTTCCATATGCATTTCTACACTTTCCTTAAATCTAAAGAGAACTAAAAATAAAATATTTGAATCTGGCTAGTTTATACTATACATATTTTTTTCTCCCTCATAGGAATATACCTCAACACTGTTACTCAACGGTTATGAGACCCTAGAAGATTTAAAGGATATAAAAGAGAGTCATCTCATTGAATTAAACATTAAAAACCCAGAAGACAGGATGAGGTTACTATCAGCTGCTGAAAATCTCCTTGATGAAGAAAGTAAGTGTATACACCTACTTTTCTCCTTTGCTGAAAATCACATTTCAATGTAAAGAGTAGAATTATTAAAAACAAAGCCCCAGTTTTATTTACGGAGAATCATACAAAGCATCCTTTCCCATAGAATAAGTATTTTCTTATCTATTTGGAAACAACAACTCTGGTCAAGTCTATAATTAGGAAAAGGACTTTTTTTTTTTCCTTATTGGACTCAGCAAATGAAAAGGACTTTTCCGGGCATCTCATTTAGATTCTGCAGAGCTATTAATTTACACACAAGTGGATGTCTGCATTCCCAAAGACTGAGGGAGTTCGAGACAAATATTTAGTGACAGCATGAGCCATTAGTGAGAAATGTCATATGCAACTTCTGCAGAACAGCACAGAACAAGGCTCTAAGCTAATGAGCTTTCGCGCCACACAGGAAAATTCATTTCATTACCATATAGTCACATCTTGTATGTGTTTATAGTATTCCTTCAAAATGTTATAATAGCTTGCAAAAATATTCAGCACTCACTTTTATTATCTGAGATGGTTCTCTGTATTTGTAACGTATAAACTGGAGATGGAGTAATTCATGCACATTCACTTACCGACTGGGTTTGTAAAGATAGGATAGCTTTTGTTTTTACAGTTGCCCAATCTGAACACTCGTCTTTCTAAATCTGCTCAGCCTTCTGAAACCCTGAGCTCAGAACATGCCAAACTCCACAAGGAATATTTTATTAGGAAGAAAAGAGGAAGGTGTCGACTTTTAAAGATGAAAAAGAACTTACACTAATTCAACTGTTCTCTTTCAATAATGATATGAATCATGATCATTACCTACTTTTTTTGAATGTATATTCTGAGGAAAACTTGATCCAAGATCGTTACATTTATTATCTTCTTCCATGCACTCCACATTTCTGTGAGTTCGATAGTACTATCCCTATATTTATAACGAGAAACTGAGAAGATGAGTAACTTGTCCAAGTTCACACACGTAGCGAATTGGAGAGCCAGGACCAGTGTTTGTGATGCTACTATACTTTCCACAAATAACAGCCCAGATGGAGAGCAAGGAGGAAAGTTGTATTTAGGACCCAGGCCTCCTGAGTGTCTCTCAGTACGTTTGCCTATATCCTAGATCTCATCTGCTCCAAAACGGGCACAGTACGTGTTTCCACACTGGCCTTTTATCTAGTAGGAATAAATGTACTCTTTTGGAAACTGTATTTCAGTTCTCTTGAGTTTGCATAGAGCTTCATTCTTTTCAAAGAGCTTTCACATGTAAGACTAATTTGGCACCTGCAGAATTTATTTAATCTTAGGCCTATGTGTTTACACGCATTCTTTGAAGTTGTGGAGACTAGGAGAGGGAGATGGGGTCACAGAGGCAGACAAAGGTCAGCCTTAAGAAAGGAGCCAATTTACTCAATAGTACAAGACAAAACAAAACTGATCAGTGTCAACTGATGTAGCAGTATCTTTCAGTAAATGAGGCAGTTTATTTCACCCTTATCATTTCAAAACATGGATTCTCACTAAATAACAGGCTACAAAAGAGATTCTGTAGATTTCTTGCAAATGAGAATGTTCGGTATCGTTGTCAATACCCTCCCAAATAATTTGATGTAGAAGTCGAGCGAGGAAGGAGAGCATTTTTTGAACACTTGTAAATACATTACTTTTCTTCTATAATACTATCCATGTGGGTATTTTGTCCATCTTACAGATGAGAAAATATTTCAGAGCTGAGTTGCAAAGTGGCCAAAGAGCTAGATAAGTAACAGAGCTGGAGTTTTAAGCAAAGGCAGTCTGCTGTAAAAATCCAAGTTCTTTCTTCCACACATGCAAACTGGTAAATATAGAAAGAACAATGAATATTTGAAAATTGAAGTTTTCTATGATGCCAGTTTTCTCAAGGGCTTCAGTTAGGTTTTCCGTCTCAGAAAGTAGAAGTTAATATTTCAGTGAGAACAGAAACCTTGCAGCAACATCACTGCCTTAAAGGTGCAAGGCTACTGTGGCTGCGTTGCAACAGGACTTGAGAATAGGAGGGGCTTAGACAGCCTGGGTGAGAAGGGTTTGTAGCCATAAAACAGTGGTCAGTCTGGACCCACGGAGGGAAGATTGGTCCAGTGCCAAAGGCTTGGGCCATGGAAGGCGTCTACTTAATTTATTCATCCACGTCCTAGTCCCTATTTACTTTCTATGTTAACAAAAGAACAATAATGTATAAATGACATCATATTAGAGCTAGGTGTAATTTGAAAAACCATCTGACCCAAATGCTTCCTTTGCAAGATGGAGAAACTAAAACTAGATTAGCTAAATGGCCTTCTCAAGGTCACATATCTAGAACCCAGCCTCCTAAATCTATTATAAACATATTCTACTATGCCCTGATCTCTGAAAATGAAACACAGTATCTCCAAAGCACGATGTGACTTTCAATGTTTAATATAAAAAAGTACAAATCCCCCAAATTATTTCCCTTATAAGACTTTAGAAAATGGTATTTGAAGGTCACTAGAAACTGACCATTTAGCAATAGCCAGGAATGTACAAACCTACACACACTGAGTCAAATTCTGGGGGATGAAAACTAGAAAAAAATCCCGATGCAACCAGTGTTTGTTGTCAACACACAACGCTGAGATTTTTCTTATTTTAATCTTACGGTCTAAAGTAGTGCTAGAATATACATGTCAAAAAGATGCATATTGCATGTTAGGCTATTCTGACTGAAAGCTATTTATCTTATATGAAACTGCTTTGCTCAAGAAATAAAGAAGAATGACTTCTATTTGTTGATAAGATGGTGAGTTCTGATGATTCGGCACCATGCTGCTGCATGCTTATTTTTATCTATTCTCTACTCTGTGAATCATATCTTCTACAACCATGCTAAAGATTAAATGCACAACCTTCATGTACCTTGAATGATAAAGACCTTGAATATATGGTTATATAAAACTAAGATATTATTAAAAACAAATGTATGTCACAGTCACAGTCACAGGTTAAAAAATAGTTAGCTGTGTGTGTGTGTGTGTGTGTGTGTGTGTGTGTGTAAGAATAAGGTATGCAAATTGGCCAGGATTTTATGCATGCATTTTATCTTGATCATTGAATAAAGCCAACTTGGGGAATGTCAATAAATTCCTAGTTTAGAGCTTCTTAGGTTGGGAACTGGGAAGTTTTGCTTGCCATTTTTTCAGTATAAAAATTAAGGAGAAGGGGCATCTGTTTCGAGGGCGAGTTAAAATTTTGAGATGATGAAGGGAATACTACAAGCCCCATGTGAGCCTTTCATACATCTAGAAGGACCAAGAGGGTGGGACAATAGAAATCTAAAATACTTAGAGCAAGAAATTTTCCTTTTCTCTTAGGCCAAATAGATAGCATTGTACCCACTCTGACCTTGAGAATGTAAAGTGGATTAAAGTGTTTTAGGTCACTGCTTGACAGGAGGTAAAGGGGTTTCTCCTACAAGCTGTTAGAAGGGTTGGTGAGTGGTGTTAGCGCTGATTATAGGATTACCTCTGCATCAGGAGAATGACTTTGGGGTTCTGCAATCCCAGCAAGGCCAGTACCGAGATATTCTGAATTCACTCCCGTGTTGCATTAGAACTGAGCAGAATTAGGTCACTGGCTCCCTCAGCTGGGAATCTAGATGAGGATAGAAGAAGAAGAAAAACTGGGGTGAGACTCGGCTTTTGAAGGAGCAAAAGAGCAGAATCTGTTTATTTTGTGCACATTAGGGTTTCTCTATTTATCATCTGAATTTTAAAATGCTTTGTTTGCTTTGAATAAATATCCCCAGTAAGAACAGAGAATGTGTGTGTGTGTGTGTGTGTGTGTGTGTTGTTCATAAACACAACCTTCAAGACCCTTTTGCCTAGCTAATAAATGCCTCTTGCAAATAATAAGAAAGTTAACTGCTATTTATAGTAAATATTATCTCTTTATTCTGAACTTGTTCCTCTTTTCCCACATTTAGAGGCACTTTGATGTGTTTTAAAAGTGTGTCTATGAGAATGTGTACATTGTCCTCAGGGAAAATGGGTGATGGAAATATCTTGTCCCTATAGCACAGAAATAATTAACTTTTAAATTGGAGGGAAAAAAAAACAACAACTGAGTAACCGCATAAGCACACTGTACGAGAAGCTGTGTATAATATATTTTAGTTAACTGCAACCTTTGTTTGCAGGGCTTGGTGAGGAGGAAAGGGGTGGGGCGGGTTGCGTGCCAGGATGTTGGCACCAGCTGTGGTCACAGCAGCTCCACATTGCTCAGCTATCCCCAGTTGTGCCTTCCTGCCTGCCTACCTGCCCAAAACGATGCAGGGCAAGAGGCGAAGCCCAGCCAGGAGCCTGGAACACGAGCTGCCAGCGGGGAGATTTGTAGTTCTGCCAAGCAGCAGTCCAGCAGTTGACCTGACAGCGTGCCAGGGTAGCTTGGTGCCCTAGCCCCTGACATGCATGCCTGGTGTTTCCAACCCGCTTGCCATATGATTTGAATCTAGATTCAAGAAAGGTACAGCTTTTAAGAAAAGATATGCTAACCATCCACATATACACACTAGAGAAGGCACACAGCCATCTTATTCCTATGTACTTATGTTTATAAATTGTTAAAATAAAAAAAAAATACGTATTTCTAGTCAGAGCTGTGGGGCTTTATGCAATTCAATTTCTTCAGATTACTCTTCGGTTTTACTGCCCCCCCCACACCAAGATTTAATTTACAATCGATGTCATATTCCATATGATACACAAAACAACAAAATGAAATGTAAACATGTTTATTCTTCTATCAGAGAACCACTCCCAGAGTAAAAAGCCCGCGGAATTTTAACCTCAGTCACCTAAGGAACTTGTAATATGCTTGTTTTTACATTGTACTATGTTTGTGTAGTAGGGGTGACTTTGTGAGGATGACCCTGGTCAAACAGGACTGAATCCTCTGTTACCAAGTGCCTTCCCAAAGCCCCTAGTTCTGTGCTT